GCAACTTAGAGGAAGGAGAGTCACCTTGGCTCACAGTTCTGGAGGGATGGAGAGTACGATGGCAGGACGCGGAGCAGGAGGCTGGCTGTGCACATTGTGCCTACACTCAGGACCTGGGGGCTGCACAGCAAATAGGGCAGAGCTAGAAAGCCTCAAGGCCCTCCCCTAGTGACCTGCTTCCTGCAGCATGGCTCCACTTCCTAAAAATCACACAAACTATTCCAACAACACCACAGCTGGGGAACAACTGGAAACACACGAGCTGGGGCGGGGGGCGGGAGGCAGTTCACATTGAAACCATGATATATTCCCATAGGAAGCGCCCAGTCTTACCAAGGCAGAGCAGTATACCCACCCTGGAGCCTCTTGCTGGTTACTGCAGCTGTGGAAGGTGCTGCGTGTAGTAGATGTCAGAGACATGCACCAACTCATTGGCCTGGTTGGTGGCCAGACAGTAACAAGGACGAGGCCAGCGCTTATCTCAGAGCTCAGGACCCTGCCTGGCCCCACACGTGGATGCTCAGTCACTGCTGACTGAAATGCAAGGGGTGGTGGATGTTTAAACCCCAGGGTGTCCCTGGTCTAAATAATACATCCTGATGGCCAGGTGAAGGCCTGGGGTGACACGGGGGAGATGTGTGCCTTCCCAGATCAGAAGAACCCTACCTTTCGCCACCCCCACAGCATCGCATCACACTGGCCCAACCAGCGCAAACATGGCAGCAGTCCTTGAAGCCAAGGCCTACTGGAGACTGGACAGCTCTACCCCTGCTGAGTGCTGGAACAGGGAATGACACCAGGAATAAGTAAACATAGTGTTGGGAAGGACAAAGAGGGAGAACCGTGGATACTTAGGGGATGGCTCCCGGGCTGAAGGTCCGCATCAGATGGGTGAGTCCATGGCACAAACTCATACCTATGTAGGAAGGGTCAACTGTAGCCCCCCTGTGGCAGGCAACTGTCTTAGGATGCCTTGTATTTGACGACAGAAAAGCTGTGATCTTGAAATGCAACCAAGACCCACCTGCCTTCTCCACAAATTGTCCCAAGTCCCTACCCTGTGAGCTTGCACAGGGGCCTCATGAGCCCCTTCTGGCTTTAAAATGCTCAGCCCTCTGTGCCTCTCTGTAAAGGAAAAAAAAAAAAAAAGAACCTTCTCCACCTGAGCAGGAGGCCTGGACAGGAGACACTGGGGTGCACCTGACTTCAAGGTCAAAGGTCTTCCAGCTTAAGTCTGGCTGGTAAAATCAAACAAATGCACAGAAAAGGAAAATGCACTGACCGGGGTCCCTAGTAAAGAAGTCTGGGTGAAGCCCAAATGTATGTTGTCAGCCTTGGCCATGGGTTCAAAACAGTGGATTCATTATAACCCCTATTTGCCTCTCTCAAAGTGAAAAATATCCTTTTAAACCAGCTTCATTGTTTGTGTTGTGTGCTTATAAATAGGTGGTTTACCCAGACAAAAAGCTGCATAGTGGCTCCAGTGATATTCCTCTTTCTTTACTGGTTCCCATTCTGAAACCAGGCAGTGTAGGATGTTTCCCAGGCAGGACTGATGGGGTGACTGGCCAGGTGAAGGGCCCCGAGACTCAATCTATATGCTGAAGGTCAGGATGAGAGCCTGCCTGAAGCTCCTGCTGCCAGGACTGGACTGTGGCTTAGGACACTGGAGTCAGCTACATCCCGTAAGAAAGATGACCCTGTCACTTGAGAGTGCCCTGCTAGACCAGGGACCAAGGCAAGGTTTCTCAATAGGCAAATGCTGCTAGCTTTTATCAGCAAAGAATAAGGTACCCATTGTGTGTCTTCACGCCCTCCAGAGGAAGTTTGCTTTATGCAGAGGGTGGCATGCTATTCGATACAATGCTGTTTCAAATTTTCTTCTACCAAGATGCATTTTTAGTTTGAACTATCAGCATGCATGTGTGTCTGTATGGTAGGATGCACAATGCACAAGAATGCTGTGTCTGTGAGGCCAGAAGAAGGCATCGAATCCTCTGGAGCTAGAGTTACAGGTGGGTGTGAGCCACCTGACATAGGTGCTCAGAACCGAACTCGGTCCACTGCAAGAGCAGCAGCATGCTCTTAACCACAGTCTCACATAGCTCAAATTCCCTAGGTCGCTGAGGATGGCCTTGAACTTAGAATCATCCTGCCTTCAGCTTCCAAGGGCTGGGATCACAAGATGGTCCCCCGTGCCTGATTTTATGCAGTGCTAGGGAGGGTACCTATCCTGAGCATCTCACAAGTCCTCTGCTACTGAGCTACAGCCCGGACCCTGGAGTCACTCACTGGAACTATTTTAAGAGCATCTGGACAGCATCCACAGGTCCTGGGTGTGTGTATGTGCACGTGTGTGAGACTATCTCTAGAAGTACACACCTCCTTCTCCTCACATAGTGGTTGCACATCAATCTCACCTGTTTGCTACTGAGGTAAATTGTTTCCTATTTGGCTGACAAGGACTGTCATGAGTAGCCACAGAGAAACTGCCACACGAGTCTGTGGGGCACACTTTCTGGAAGCCAAGCCTGTGGGTGATCTGATGAGTGCATTTGCACTGTAAATGGCCTTTTGGATGCTGCCCATTTAGGAGCCCACACTGGTCCCACACCCATAGAGACACTATCCTTCCTTGCACCCTGTCATCTTACTGTGTTCCCCAGATTTTATTTCTAGTTTTTCTTTTTAAAAATCTGATTTTATGTGTAGGTTGTTTGACCCACATGTGTGTACGTACACCGTGTGTGTGCCTGGTGTCTGCAGAGGCCAGAAGAAACCTTTGTCTTAGTCACTGTTCTATTTTTATGAAGAGAAACGATGACCAAGGGAACTCTTATAAAAGAAAGCATTTAATTGGGGACTTGTTTACAGTTTCAGAGGCTAGTCCATTATCATGGTGGGGATCGTGGTGGCATGCATGGAGTTGAAAAAATAGCTGAAAGCTCCATCCTGATCCATAGGCCTAGAGAGACTCTAGACTGGGCACAGAAATTGAAACCTCAAAGCCCACCCCTAGTGACATGCTTCCTTCAACAACACCTCTTAACCCTTCTAATTCTCTCAAATAGTGCCACTTCCTGGTGACTAAGCATCCGAATATATGAACCCGTGGGAGCCATTCTTATTCAACCACCAGAGCAGCCAATTTCCTGAAACTGGGGTTACAGGCAGTGGTCAGGTGCCATGGGGTGCTGAGAACAAAAAAAAAAAAAAAAAAAAAGAAAGGTCCTCTGCTATTCCATTCCCCAATTGTAACATTGCTGATTTTTTTTATTCCAATTCTTGTTTTTTTTTTTAATTTATTTTGTTTTTGGTATACGTCATTTCTAGGAGCACATTTATGTTGTCAACACTATTTGACAGAGCTACAAAAATGCCTTGTACAACCACCACCATCCCTAGCCCCTGCAAGAGCAGTGTGTGTGCTAGAATAGAAGACTCTCTGTGGATAGACACCGTAACACTTAGAATCCTCAGTTGTAGCCTGATTCTCATTTGAGTCCTGTGTTTAAGAAATGTATTTTTTAATTACATTTATTTGTCCATGTATGACTTATTTATGTGTGCATGTATGTATATGTTTGTGAGTGTGCCTATGGAGAACAGAGGACAACTTCTAGGGTTGATTCTGTCCATTCATCATGTGGGTCTGGGGATCAAATTCATGTCACCAGGCTTGGCAGCAGGCACCTTTACACACTGAGCCATCTCCCCAGCCCTGGAGAGACATATTCACCATTATAGCATCCAGTGCAGTTCCACTGCACAAATAACTACTGTTCATCCCTACTCCCGTGTGTGTGTGTGTGTGTGTGTGTGTGTGTGTGTGTGTGTGCGATGAGCATGGGTATATGTATAAAGGCATTCTCTTGTAACTGCTGTTTCTGAATTCATCTGGAGCCCATCTGTCTTGAGGCACATCCCCATCAGTGCCCTTGTTGACTAATCCCTTTGTGGTGGGCATCACCTTCTTCTTTGGGTACCAAGGTTGACTTTTGAGAAGTCCTTTTGTTAGTAAATAGAGAAGAGAGGCTGGACCATGGGGCGGTCAGGCTACATCATTATCACCATCTTCATCTCCATCATCAGCACCATCATCATCACTACCATTCCCATCCTCTCCCTCATGCAGCTGTATAGATCCATAGGATGCAGATGATGTGACCTTGTAAGCCTGGCACTGAGGAGGGACTGGGCCTGACAGAGCCTGGATGGCTACAGAGCCTGGCAACCAACTTTCCAGGATGGACCAGTGTCAACTTGATACAAACTAGAGTTATCTGAAAAGAGATAACCTCAATTCAGAAAATACCTCCATAATATCTGGTTGCAAAGCATTTTCTTAATTAGTGATTGATGTGGAAGAGCCTACCCCATTGTGGGTTGGGTCATCCCTTCACTGGTAGTTCTGGGTTCTATAATCAGCAAGCTAAGAAAGTTGTGATGAGCAAGCAAGTAAGCAGCACTCCTCTATGGACTCTGCGTCAGCTCCTGACTCCAGGTTTCTGTGCTGTTTGAGTTCCTATCCTGACTTCCTTTGATGATAGACTACAGTGTGGAAGTGTAAGCCAAAACGAGCCCTTTCCTCCCTAACTTGCTTTTGATTATGGTGTTTCATCACAGTCATAGAAACTCTAACTAAGACAGTATATTGTGGGTCCTGCAGGTGAAAAGAAAACTGGCTTCCCGTTAGAGATCCAGAGATGCACACAGCACCCAGCTGGGGGCAACTTTGTGCTATCGGGGGTCATGTCCCCTGGTGCTCCATAGCCCACTCTCCTGTTTACGTGTTCCTCACTGTCTGCTGGCCTCCGGGCTTCTTCCCTTGGTCCCAGTTATCAGTCTCAGGGTTATCATGTCAGCTGTGAAACCGATAGGAAGGGACATACGCACCACTCTGCCTTTTCGGCTGGGAATTCACTCAGCTTCTGGGAATACCTGAAATGACAATGGCTCAAGCCAAGCAGAAATTAATTTTCTTTTCTTTCTATGGGAAGGTCCAAAGCCGAGTCAAAGACTGGAGCAAACGCTTTATGATGTCATTAGAGATAACACCTCCAAATTCTTGATCTTGAGACTCTCAGATTCGAAGATGCCAGCCTGCAGGCATTCCAGCCATCAAATCTACTTTTCTAAAAGGAAGCAAGAAGGATCCAGTCTTCCTAATTTAACGCAATACCTTCTGCTTATATCTCATGGACGACTTCCAGCAGCAAAGTGACTGGCAGAGGGGCACTGTGATTAAAAATGAAGTTCTGCCACTATACATAGTAAAGTTGTATGTACAAAGCTCCCTGTGGCTCAGTTTCCTTTGTACTTGGGGTTGGGAGAGATCTAGTAGCCAGTACTGCAGAAGACCCTGGCCAGGCTCACAGCGGAAGCCAGTAAATAGAAGGCAAGGGGTTTGACCTACACTTACTTCTTTGAGCCTGGAGGACTAAGCGCTTGAAACTACAGTGAAAGCAAGAGCAGTTCTCCCTGCTGGAGGCGGGGCAGTAGGGAGGGGCTGGGCTCCAGGCACTCAAGGAGGTCCCCAGTGTGCTCCGCCTTGCCCACAGTGGGCTAGTCCCTGTCCCCAGGAGCCAAGGAGAGGCTGTGGAAGATGACAGTCTTGGTTTGTCACAGCTGCTGTTCTGTTTTTGAAGCAGGAGACTTGCCTGGGTATTTTGGGGTTTGTTTGTTTGTTGTGAGATGGGATCTCATGTATAGCTGAGGATGACTTTCAGTTGCTTCCACCTCCTGCACGCTGAGATACAGGTGTGCACCAGCACGTCCAGTCCACGCAGTGCTGGGGACTGAAGCCAGGGCTTCATGCTTGATAGGCAAGCACTCTATCAGCTGAACCACATCTCTAGCCTCTTGCCCGAATGATTTTTAAGGCAGGGTTCTAACAAGGCGGTATTTGATCAGCATCTGTCAGGAGCTGACAGGGTCAAGGACAAGGTCAGGAGAGGCAGTCCAGGGAGGCTGCAGGGGGAGGGGTGGGAGGACACTTGTGAGGGGGATAGAGGAAGGGAGGAAGAAGAGTGAGCAGGGCAGGAAAGGGTGGAGAAAGGTGGGTAAGCACCCAGACAAGAGCCCAGCAAGAAGGCCAGCTGCTGTAGTAACTACTACAGGAGTTTCTCAGACCCTGTAAAGCCCAAAGGGATCCTGATCTTTACCTTCAGGGTGAAGATTTTCATCCTGGCTTTGTGCTGGGAACCCAGACCTCAGCAAAGAGGGGCTGAGGTGGACAGGTTGGGACCTCAGATGGACAAGGTCAGGGAATGAAGGGTGATGTTCTATTGAGTGAATGCCAAGATAGGAGTAGGGGCAACAGCAGGATTAAAGTGAAGATCTAGAGGAGGGATAAGTCTGGACTGTGGCTAGCTGGATTGAGAGAAGCAGCTGCAGGCCTGGAGTGGGGCCAGGTGCAGCACTTGCTGAGGGCAGAGAGGTACCCAGGGACTCATTTTAAGCACAGGGGGTGGGGCCAGCACAGGGTTGTGGCCCAGAGGAAGGTGGGTGGGCACAGTAGGTAATCAACAGGAGACAGCTGCAGTGCACCTGCAGGCCAGCCAGGTGCAAGGCCTGTGGGAAGGGCGGGACAGGATGCGCAGGTCTCCTGAAGCCAAAGTTGCTTAGGGACCTTTGTGTGCCCTTTCCCTGCTTCTGCACCTTGGCTGCTACGGGCATCTTTGGAGAGACATGGGTCTTGCCCTGCTGCCCACGGCCTTACTGGTCCTGCTTGCCCTGCTGCTGTGGCCCACACTGGCCCAGGACTCTGAGGAACCCAATGTGCGTTGTGGAGGTGAGTGCTGGGGGTGGGGTGTAGGGTGTCTCAGCTCCAGGCTTCTGGAGTACACAGCTTGTCCCTACTCTGTGAGAGACAGGCCGCTGGACAGGTTCCTTTTGCCATCACTTCTGTGTCTTGGGTACTCAGGAGAAGCCCTCTGAGGTTCCTGCTATGTGGCTGCTGACCCAGTCTTGGAGTGCACAGCTTGCTGCTTGCTGTTCTGGCATTTCAGCTATCCTGCTGTGACTTCTGCGTGAACAAGGAGGGTCCCTTGCCTCTGCCATCTTTCTCTTGACTCCCGTGTGACTGGAGACAGAGGCAGGTGCCGGTCAGCACTGGGCAAATTGATGGGCTGCTAGTTCCAGGAACCAGGGAGGTGATGCTTGACTAAAGAGGTGCTGCTGTGGTTTGGGAAGTCAGTCTACCCCTTGGATCCACAGGGTTCACAGGTGGCTCCAGTTATTAGAGGACAAAAGACAGGACAGACCTTATCTCAGCTCTGACATCCACAGCAAGCGCCTCTAGTTGATAGAACTGTGGGAGATGTAGGCAGGAAGGCGATAATCCCCCCCAACAAAAATGCCTGTCCTTGGAATGCCCCCTTGGTAGAGGACTGCCCATGTGCGGCCGAGAAGGGAACCTGGGGCAGAGGTGCAGCCAAATGCTTCTGGTTGGCTTTAGGTTCATTGATGCTTGGGTCTTGAGTAGAACACTCTGTTGTCTGTTTCTGGGCATCTGCAATCTCCACAACAGGATCACTGGGGACGTGGGTTTGGAGCAGCCCGGTCAAACTGCCTCTTTCTGAGAAGTTAAACCTGTCCCTTGACATGATGTTGGCATCTAGACTGGCTCTGGGACCAGGACTGGGGCAGTTGCAAAAGCACCAAGTGGGGGGTACAGGGGGCTGAGCACAGAATTGATGAAGGAGTAGAATCCAAGGAGGCGGTCTATCCCAGTGGTTGTCAACCTTCCTAACACTGTGACCTTTTCATATAGTGCCTCGTGTTGTGGTGACCCCCGACTACAACATGATTTTCTCTGTTACTTCATAGCTGGAATTTACTACTATTATGAATCAAAATCTAAGTATTTTTGGAGATAGAAGTTTGTTAAGGGGTCGTGACCCACAGGTTGAGAACCACTGGTCTATCCCGTGGGCGTTGGCAGGGGTGTGGAGTTGGGTGAGGCTGAGGAGGAGTGCTGAAGGGTAGTGATGAGGAGTGTGTGCTGCACCCTTCCTAGAGCCATCCTCCCCTTCTCAGAGTCGGCTGAGCCCTTCCGTCCCACCCTAGGCATTGTCACTGCAGTCCCCTAGGCAGAGGCCATCAGGGAGGTGACAGAGAACCTACCATGTCAAACAGCCCCTCTGCACAGCCCCCACACTGATGTATGTCTTTATTCTGATGCAAGTCACTGATTTCATAAAGCTCTCATGCAAATAGGAGGCCCAGCCCAGCTCCTGTAGGGGTGTGCTGGGGGCCCCTAGAGGGAGTTGCCTGTGAACGTGGCTGCCCGAGGAAGCCTGGAGGGCCACTTTCCAAGTCATCCAAAAGAGGGGGTACAAGGGGCAGCTGGCATGGAGAGCATGGATCCTTCGGGCTGGCAAGAGGAGGCAGGAACTCAGAGAGCTGAGGGGACAGGATAAGAATTCCAGTTGCCTTCCTTCTCTCCCCTCTGCGCTGTATGCAGTGTGCCACAGGGTTTCACAGCCTTGGTGTGGATCTTAAGTAGACGTGTACTGGGGATGCTTTGAGCATTTTGAGATGCTGATGAGTTTTCAATGTATCCAGCATGGGGCTGGGCACAGGGTCATATCATCATAGCAAACATCCCAAGACCTGAGTGAGGAGTTAGGAGCCAGTCATCAGAAATTCTCTCTCTCTCTCTCTCTCTCTCTCTCTCTCTCTCTCTCTCTCTCTCTCTCTCTCGTGTGTGTGTGTGTGTGTGAGAGAGAGAGAGAGAAAGAGAGAGTCTCACGAACCTGAAGCTCACCCCACCATTACTCCGCAACTCCCATCACTCCACAGCCTTCCTATCAACACCCCCACAACCTCCCTACAATCACCCCAGAATCCCCAACACCCCCACCATCACCCCATAGCCCCCCACTATCACCCATAACATCCCCACCCTCACCCCACAGCCTCCCCACCATTACCCACAGCTCCTGCCCCCTCAGCACCCAACAGCCCCTGCCCCCTCAGCACCCAACAGCCCCCTACCATCTCACCACCATCATCTCCCACATGGTCCATTTGCTGCAATGGGTGAATCTTACTGACACAGCATCAACAGCCAGAGTCCACAGTCCACATCAAGGTCACTCCTTGTACACTCCATAGTGCGGGCACATAAATGGCATGAGTCACACAGAGTCACTTTACTGCTCTGGAACACAGTGTGTCTGAGCTCACTTCCAGCTGGCTTTCCTTCATTGTGTTTTCTCGTAACCTTATGTAGGTAGAAATGCAGTGAGTTCTCTATGTGAGTTTTGTATCCCGACACTGCTGACCCTCACCTGTGCGCTCTTCACCCGCCATCAGCTAGCCAGTGTCGTGTGCTCACATTTGCCTGTGCCTCTCCCCTTCTGACTTGTTCTGCCCCCTCAGCCCGATTGCTTCCCACTCTGGCATAGACGACAGATGTTCACAGCATCCCCAACCCATTTTTGTGGGGCCTGTAGCCATGTGGTACCTGAGCTCACCCAGACACTGCCCTGCTATCTCTGACTCATCTTCTCTGTGCCCTGCCCTTGTCTGTGGAGAACTTGGTTCCATACCAGATGCTGCTCTTAGAGAAGTTGTATGAAAGTGTGTGTGTATATCTTTGGGCCATGTAAACTCTATGTATGTGTTTGGGCCATATGGGTTATATGTATATCAGTGTATGTGTGTCTTTGAATCATATGATTGTTTATGTATGTGTATATGTGCAAGTGTGTCTTTGAGTCATGGTGGTTGTGTATATGTGTATATATGTATGCAAATGGGTGCATGTTTATTGCTGGGTCATGATGGTTATGTATGTATGTGCATGCATGTCTTTAGGTCATATTGGTTGTGTGTATGTATGTGTATATGCATGTATGTCTTTAGGCCACGTGAGTTGTGTGTATATATGTGTGTATATGTGTGTGTGTTATATCTTTGGGCCATGTGAGTTGTGTATATATGTATGTGTGTGTGCACATGTGTCATTGGGTCATGGTGATGGTTGTGTGTGTGTGTATGCATGCATGTATGTGTGTGTTGTGCACATATGTCTTTGGGTCATGTGGATTATATGTGAGTCCGCTGGAGAAGAGATAGAGGGAGCATAATGTGAGAATCCAGCAGGTACCAGCTCTTATAGACACTGGCGAGCTCTGTGCTTGCCCCATGGGCAGGGCTCACAGTGCCATGCGATGCAGTCTGACAGGTCATCTCCAAGGCCGGTTCCGCTTTCCTAGAGGACACCTGTACTGTGTAGACTACCTTGGCCTCCTTTCATGGGGTTTCAGCAGCTCACAGACAGCAGCT